GTAAAGCATGCTTGTTATACTCACTGTGTAACCTAAGGGGTAAATCCTCTGCATTGTGCAAAAAAGTTGTTTGATCCTGACTTCTCTGATCCTCTTCTTCTTCCACTGTACCCAATCCTTCTGCTGATAGTACAGAGCCCTAGGAGGCACTCTGCATATGCTCAGTACAGGGCTAATCAGCACTGTCCAAACAGAGAGTTAGGGGTAATGCAGCCTCATAGGACAGTCAAAGGTGATTTAAGTCTCCTACAAGTTTTACCCAGTGCTCAGCTGGACACTGATCAGAGGCGTATCTGATCAGGGGGGGGGGGGGGGCAGGGGGGTACATATGTACCTGGGCTCCAAGGTACAGGGGTGCCAAAATGAGGTCACAAGATCACTGCAGCGGCTGCAGTAGACGTGTCATCTGATACGTCTGCCATCCACAGTGAGTTATGAGAGGAGAGAGGAGCCGGCCGGGAGAGCAGCAGAGAGGAGGGCAGTGAGCCGGGCATGTGCCGGAGGGGACGAGGGGAGAGCCGAGCCGGGTGAGTAGTGCCATGGATGAAGAGGAGGGGGGGGCAATGTGATCGGGACGGGGGGGTGTCTACAGGGACCATATGAAGCGGGGGGGTGTCATGAGGTAGCCGTTCGTCCCCGGGCGCAAAATATCCTAGCTACTCCTCTGACACTGATAGAGGTCAGAAGACTGCTATATACTGATGATGTTTATATTTACTAATAGCAGTATATATTTGCTAAAATAATTGCATTTCCATGTTCTGTGTACTGTGGGAGACTGGATAGTGCATTCAGGGCCCAGGGTTTAGTAACACTTTAAGGATGATCCAGATTTAAAGTGGAGCTCCACCCAAAAGGGGAAGTTCCATTTTAAGGACTGATCCCCCGCTCCTCATTAAGGATTGGCACCTTTGGGGGGCTGGGGGGGAGCGGATACCCGAATTTGACAGGTCCCCGCTCCCACTTCCGGTCTGATCGCCTAGGCGATCGGAAGCGGAAGGTGTCCTCCCTCCCTCCCTCCCTGTAGTCTTTTGGGACACTTGACAGGTCCTAGAAGACTACAGAACCATTCATGAAGCGCAGCGCTACTCGCACATGCGTAGTGGGTACCCAGCTGTGAAGCCTCAAGCTATCACAGCCGGGTACCCACATGGAAGATGTCGGCCTCCTGGAATCCAGGGCGGCTGGTGAAACGGGCTGTGGGGGACACACTGCGGGACCGAAGGACAAGTGAATGAGTGTTTTTTTAAAAGTCAGCAGCTACAGTTTTTGTAGCTGCTGACTTTTATTTTTTGACAGGGTGCGTAGAACTCCGCTTTAAGCAGCCACTGATGCAACACCCAGGGCAAAGCTTGAAGTGAACCAGCCACATGCCCTAGAAGATGTACCACTAGAACGAGGAAGGTGAGTAGCAGCTACATCTGTTCTACAAATTAGGACACTTTGAAACTATGAAATGGGTATATCAAACTTGTTACCTTTTTCTACTTTTAGCTGTGTTTCAAAAATAATAGCAAAATACAAAGAACAAATAATATAGGTGAGATGCTTAAAACCACCTATGGTTCATAACACAATTTTTTAATAAATGTGTCACTTTTGAAGACTGATGGTACAGTATCTCTTATTCATTACTTCGCAACAGAAGATCTACTGAAGTGGAAAGCAATATTTTCTATTAGATCACAAAAGACTAATTGTCGTTTTTGGGAATGATGCCACCTATTAGACAGATATTTCCATATCTACATTCCAAAACGTAAATCAGAAGACCCTAAACTTTCTCCATCTGAGACAACATATTCAAGTTACTAATTTCCTCCAAACAGAAAACATCAGCCAGCTGGAAATAATCAATTCTGTGCATGATTGCCTGGTTTACTCCTCCTAAAAACATTTGAATGTTGTACTGTACTTCCTTTTTTAAAAATTAAAGAAGGGCAAACTTATATATTTCTATAATGATAAACAAACGTATATTTGTTTTGGCTTGAATTGCCAGAAAAATATAAAATGCATTTGAAGTAAAATTAAAAATCAATATAGCGTACATGCAAGTTTCTAGAATCATGGAAAATTCAATTTTTTTTCAAAGAAGGCATACCTTTAACTTTACTTGACTCCAGATTCTTGCTAGCCATTCACAAGTTTGACTAAACTAGGGATGTTGTTTTGCGGAGAGTCTACAAGAGTTACAGCTTCTGTTGGATTTTTTTTGATCTCTGTGACTTCTTTCTGGAGATTTCTCCTCACTTTCTGTCCCTGTGACATCAAAAATTGCTGGGTCCTTACTGGAGTAACTAGCAGAAATATTGGTTCATTTCAATTAAGAAAAAGCATCCAAGAGGAGCTGGGACTTTTGATATGAGCTCATACAAAGTAGTGAAAGGGCAAATATACAGTTGTATTCAAAATAATAGCAGTGTGTTGAAAAAAGTGAATAAAGCTCAAAATCCTTCTAATAGCTTTTATTTCCATACACACAAATGCATTGGGAACACTACACATTCTATTCCAAATCAAAACATGAAGAAAAATATATCAAATTTGTGTTGTTCCTCTAAACAAAATGAAGAAAAGTGAATATTAGACTGTTCAAAAAAATAGCAGCGTTTAGATTCTTCTTTACAAACTCAAACATTCACTATATAAACTGAAAAATGTTTGAAGATTTTGCTTTCCTTTGAATCACTTAATGAATATTTAGTTGTATAAGCACTGTTTCTGAGAACTGCTGTACATCTGTGTTGCATGGAGTCAACCAACTTCTGGCACCTGTGAATAGGTATTCCAGCCCAGGATGATTGGACTACATTCCACAGTTCTTCTCTATTTCTTGGTTTTGCCTCAGAAACTGCATTTTTGATGTCACCCCACAAGTTTTCTATTGGATTAAGATCCGGGGATTGGGCTGGCCACTCCATAACGTCAATCTTGTTGGTCTGGAACCAAGATGCTGCACGTTTACTGGTGTGTTTGGGGTCGTTGTCTTGTTGGAACACCCATTTCAAGGGCATTTCCTCTTCAGCATAAGGCAGCATGACCTCTTCAAGTATTCTGATGTATTCAAACTGATCCATGATCCCTGGTATGCGATAAATAGGCCCAACACCGTAGTATGAGAAACATCCCCATATCATGATGCTTGCGCAACCATGCTTCACTGTCTTCACAGAGTACTGTGGCTTGAATTCAGTGTTTGGGGGTCGTCTGACAAACTGTCTCCAGCCACTAGATCCAAAAAGAACAATTTTACTTTCATCAGTCCGCAAAATGTTGCGCCATTTCTCTTTAGGCCAGTCAATGTGCTCTTTGGCAAATTGTAACCTCTTCAGCACGTCTTTTTTTCAACAGTGGGACTTTGCGGGGGCTTCTTGCAGATAGCCTGGCTTCACATAGGCGTCCTCTAATTGTAACAGTACTCACAGGTAACTTTAGACCTTCTTTGATCTTCCTGGAGCTGATTGTTGGCTGAGTCCTTGCCATTTTGGCTTTTCTTCTATCCATTCGAATGGCAGCTTTTCGCTTTCTTCCACATCTTTCAGGTTTTGGTTGCCATTTTAAAGCATTTGCGACCATTTTAGCTGAGCAGCGTATCATTTTCTTCACTTCTTTATACGTTTTCCCCTCTCCAATCAAATTTTTAATCAAGGTACGCTGTTCTTCTGAACAATGTCTGGAACGACCCATTTTTCCTCAGAATTTCAGAGAGAATGCACTGTAACCAGCATGTACAACATTTGCTGCCTTCCTTCCTTACATAAGGGCAATAATTGCCACCTGTTCTTTAAAGAATGAATGACCTCACTAATAGAACTCCACACTGCTATTATTTTGAACATGCCCCTTTCAATTAGTGATTCAATTACACCGAATCAGCAGCATGCATGTAATGACCGCTGGGTCTGTTGGATTTCTATTACTCTACTACACCTGCTAGTAAATTATTTGCCATGTAGAAATATAATTTCTACCAAAAACAGTGATTGATCAGGTTAGTGATGTCTGACTGCTGTTATTTTGAACGCAATCGTTCTTGAAGAGCCCACTGTCTCAGGTTAGGCTGCTCACAACAGACAAGGCTACCTTCTAGTAGTTACCCCAGCAGGTTATCAGAAAAACATGCACAAATGGAAATAGCACCAGACCAAAAGATAAAAGAGTCCAAATTAATTTATTAGTTTTTACTAAAAACAGTCAATGTGTTTCAAGAGTCAGAAAAACTCTGCTTCATCAGGGCTTCAGTTGAAATAAGAACCGTGAATGAACTAAACATAGAGCTTTCCTGTGTAAATCTGTTTAGGGAAGCTTAATGCTGAATCAGGAGAGTTACTGGCCAGCAGTATTTGGTGAGCAATCAAAGCTCAATTTAGACTCCATTCAAGGTGCTTATTTTAACTGAAGCCCTGTTGAAGGGGAATTTTTCTGACCCTCAAAATGTTTTGGCTGTTTAGGATTTGGATTATTTTATCTTTTGGCCTGGTGCTCCTTTCATTTGTGAATGTTTTTTCTTATATTGTTTCATTTTTCCTTATTAAAATATCTGGCAGTGGTATACTGAAGTACATGTTATCTTAGTCACAGAAGTCCACTGAGAATAACCTTTATGTGTGCTATTTGCTTTTGATCTAATCTGGGATATGGTATTTACACTTGTCTATTAGTGGGCATGGCTATGCTTTTTAGTTAGTGATATTTGTTGGCTGCCTCTGGGTGGTATGTCGATGAACACACAAGTTGTATGTTATGTTATTACACTTATGATGCTGCTACTTATCTTTACGATATTCATTATAATTAGAGATAAGCGAAGTATTCAAAAATTCGATTCGGCGAATTCGAGGAATAAATTCGATTCGAGGCGAATATATTCGCTGCAAATTTAACTTATAAAAAGGGTGTTTCTAGGCTTCAGAGAGCCTTTATATTAGTGCAGAACACTGTACCTTTAATTTAAATGCCCTTGGAGTCTGCTGGGGAAGAGAAATAATACTGTCAGTCAGTATGACATGCAGATGAGTCCCGTCGATCTTAGAATCACGGCACACTTCACTCATTTGGGCAGTCACGGGGCCAAAACCAGAGTGTGGAGCCACAGTGTGGCGGTGGAGGCAGCAGCAATGGGAGGCCATACAGCACCCTATGACAAAATGGAACCCACCAGCAGTGTGAGGAGACCTGAAAGTGGCACATGGCAGAGTGTGGCGATGGAGACAGCAGCAATGGGAGGCCGTACAGGGACCCATGAGACACTCTGGACCTGGCAGCAGCATGAGGAGGAAGCGGTACAGGGGCCCATGACAGATTACGGGCCTGGCAGCAGCATGAGGAGTCGGTACGGGGGCCCATGGCAGATTACGGGCCTGGCAGCAGCAATGGGAGGCCCGTAATCTGCCAGCACCCAATGACAAAATGGAACCCACCAGCAGTGTGAGGAGACCTGAAAGTGGCACATGGCAGAGTGTGGCGATGGAGACAGCAGCAATGGGAGGCCGTACAGGGACCCATGAGACACTCTGGACCTGGCAGCAGCATGAGGAGGCGGTGCGGGGGCCCATTGCAGATTACGGGCCTGGCAGCAGCAATGGGAGGCCCGTAATCTGCCAGCACCCTATGACAAAATGGAACCCACCAGCAGTGTGAGGAGAAATGAAAGTGGCACATGGCAGAGTGTGGCGATGGAGACAGCAGCAATGGGAGGCCGTACAGGGACCAATGAGACACTCTGGACCTGGCAGCAGCATGAGGAGGCGGTACGGGGGCCCATGGCAGATTACAGGCCTGGCAGCAGCAATGGGAGGCCCGTAATCTGCCAGCACCCTATGACAAAATGGAACCCACCAGCAGTGTGAGGAGACCTGAAAGTGGCACATGGCAGAGTGTGGCGATGGAGACAGCAGCAATGGGAGGACGTACAGGGACCCATGACACACTCTGGACCTGGCAGCAGCAAGAGGAGGCGGTACAGGGGCCCATGGCAGAGTGGCGAAGCGTAGGCAGCTTAAATTGAAGGCCATACAGAGGCCTATGTTAAAAATAATAACATGTTTGGGGCATGATTCATGGCCGATTTAGTCAGTTGTGTCAGGAACTGGTGGTTTGAAATCCAGACTAATCCACGCCTGATTCATTTTCACAAACGTGAGTCTCTCCATACTTTGGGTGGACAGTCGTGTCCTCCGCGGAGTTACAATACCTCCTGCCGCACTAAACACGCGCTCCGATGCCACGCTACTGGCCGGGCATGACAGCCTTTCAAGGGCAAATTCAGCTAGTTGGGGCCAAAGGTCAAGTTTCGTTGCCCAGTAGTCAAGGGGATTGTCTACCTCGGTTGGCAGGGTGCTGTCCAAGTAGGCCCAAGCCTGTTGTTTGAGGTCCTGCTCCAGGTCCACCTGATGCTGCTGCTGCTGCGGCTGGTTAGTAGTTTCCTCACTGTGCTGGTGAAGAAAGCTACTCATCATCGACTGCAGACTGAGGCAGCCGCTGCTGGTGGAGCTGCCACTGCTCCTACCACCCCACCCCTCCCCTGCTGCCATGGCAGCGGAATGCGAGCGCACAGGGCCCACAGTGTCTGAGGATGGACGTTGGCGCAGAAAGGCAGAGACCAACTGACTACATAGGTGGTTTTTATAGTACTTTATTTTGGCCTCCCTCTCAGCAGGTGTGAAAAAGGCCACCATTTTTGAACGGTAGCGAGGGTCCAACAAGGTGGACAGCCAAAAGTCATCCCTCTGTCTGATGGTTATTATTCGGCTGTCGCTACGCAAGCAACCGAGCATGCTATGGGCCATTTGTGCCAAGGAATGCGAGGGACTCCCTGCCTCCATCTCCACAGCATACTGCCACGGTGCGTCTGGGTCCTCTGTCTCCTCCTCTACCAGATGCTCCTGCTCCTCCACTCCTGTCCGCTGAGTGGAAAAACCACCCATTTCACTCAATAATTCCTGAGCACCAATGTCCTCCTCTACCTCCTCCTCTTCTTCCTGTCCTGCCCCCACAGGGGTCATGTGGCGTTGAGATCTGTGCGCCACGTCTACCGCACCCTGACCAGCCATTGTTAACAGCATTTGTTCCAGGACGTGCAACAGAGGAATGACGTCGTTCATCCCATAGTCCTGCCGACTCACGAATAGCGTGGCCTCCTCAAAGGGCCTGAGCAAGCGGCAGGTGTCACGCATGAGCTGCCAATGGCTGACATCTAAGTTACACAGGGGAGTACCTTTATCCGCTTGTAACATCAGGAAATCGGTGATGGCCTTTCGCTGTTCGTAAAGGCGGTCTAACATATGTAGGGTTGAATTCCACCTTGTTGCACCTGAGTAACAATTCTGTGTCCCTGAGTAACAATTCTGTGTCTGTCCCTGAGTAACAATTCTGTGTCTGTCCCTGAGTAACAATTCTGTGTCCCTGAGTAACAATTCTGTGTCCCTGAGTAACAATTCTGTGTCCCTGAGTAACAATTCTGTGTCCCTCAGTAACAATTCTGTGTCTGTCCCTGAGTAACAATTCTGTGTCCCTCAGTAACAATTCTGTGTCCCTCAGTAACAATTCTGTGTCTGTCCCTGAGTAACAATTCTGTGTCCCTGAGTAACAATTCTGTATCCCTGAGTAACAATTCTGTGTCCCTGAGTAACAATTCTATGTCCCTGAGTAACAATTCTGTGTCCCTCAGTAACAATTCTGTGTCCCTCAGTAACAATTCTGTGTCCCTTAGTAACAATTCTGTGTCTGTCCCTCAGTAACAATTCTGTGTCCCTCAGTAACAATTCTGTGTCCCTCAGTAACAATTCTGTGTCTGTCCCTGAGTAACAATTCTGTGTCCCTGAGTAACAGTTCTGTGTCCCTGAGTAACAATTCTGTGTCCCTGAGTAACAATTCTGTGTCTGTCCCTGAGTAACAATTCTGTGTCCCTCAGTAACAATTCTGTGTCCCTCAGTAACAATTCTGTGTCCCTCAGTAACAATTCTGTGTCTGTCCCTGAGTAACAATTCTGTGTCCCTGAGTAACAGTTCTGTGTCCCTGAGTAACAATTCTGTGTCCCTGAGTAACAGTTCTGTGTCCCTCAGTAACAATTCTGTGTCCCTCAGTAACAATTCTGTGTCCCTCAGTAACAATTCTGTGTCTGTCCCTGAGTAACAATTCTGTGTCTGTACCTGAGTAACAATTCTGTGTCCCTGAGTAACAGTTCTGTGTCCCTGAGTAACAATTCTGTGTCCCTCAGTAACAATTCTGTGTCCCTCAGTAACAATTCTGTGTCCCTGAGTAACAATTCTGTGTCCCTGAGTAACAGTTCTGTGTCCCTGAGTAACAATTCTGTGTCCCTGAGTAACAGTTCTGTGTCCCTGAGTAACAATTCTGTGTCCCTCAGTAACAATTCTGTGTCCCTCAGTAACAATTCTGTGTCCCTCAGTAACAATTCTGTGTCCCTCAGTAACAATTCTGTGTCTGTCCCTGAGTAACAATTCTGTGTCCCTCAGTAACAATTCTGTGTCCCTCTGTAACAATTCTGTGTCCCTCAGTAACAATTCTGTGTCTGTCCCTGAGTAACAATTCTGTGTCCCTCAGTAACAATTCTGTGTCCCTCAGTAACAATTCTGTGTCTGTCCCTGAGTAACAATTCTGTGTCCCTGAGTAACAGTTCTGTGTCCCTGAGTAACAATTCTGTGTCCCTGAGTAACAATTCTGTGTCCCTCAGTAACAATTCTGTGTCCCTCAGTAACAATTCTGTGTCTGTCCCTGAGTAACAATTCTGTGTCCCTCAGTAACAATTCTGTGTCCCTCAGTAACAATTCTGTGTCTGTCCCTGAGTAACAATTCTGTGTCCCTGAGTAACAGTTCTGTGTCCCTGAGTAACAATTCTGTGTCCCTGAGTAACAGTTCTGTGTCCCTGAGTAACAGTTCTGTGTCCCTGAGTAACAATTCTGTGTCCCTCAGTAACAATTCTGTGTCCCTGAGTAACAGTTCTGTGTCCCTGAGTAACAATTCTGTGTCCCTGAGTAACAATTCTGTGTCCCTCAGTAACAATTCTGTGTCCCTCAGTAACAATTCTGTGTCTGTCCCTGAGTAAAAATTCTGTGTCCCTGAGTAACAATTCTGTGTCCCTGAGTAACAGTTCTGTGTCCCTGAGTAACAATTCTGTGTCCCTCAGTAACAATTCTGTGTCCCTCAGTAACAATTCTGTGTCTGTCCCTGAGTAACAATTCTGTGTCCCTGAGTAACAGTTCTGTGTCCCTGAGTAACAATTCTGTGTCCCTGAGTAACAGTTCTGTGTCCCTGAGTAACAATTCTGCGTCCCTCAGTAACAATTCTGTGTCCCTCAGTAACAATTCTGTGTCCCTCAGTAACAATTCTGTGTCTGTCCCTCAGTAACAATTCTGTGTCCCTCAGTAACAATTCTGTGTCCCTCAGTAACAATTCTGTGTCCCTCAGTAACAATTCTGTGTCTGTCCCTGAGTAACAATTCTGTGTCCCTGAGTAACAGTTCTGTGTCTCTGAGTAACAATTCTGTGTCCCTGAGTAAAAGTTCTGTGTCCCTGAGTAACAATTCTGTGTCCCTGAGTAACAATTCTGTGTCTGTCCCTGAGTAACAATTCTGTGTCCCTGAGTAACAGTTCTGTGTCCCTGAGTAACAATTCTGTGTCCCTGAGTAACAGTTCTGTTTCCCTGAGTAACAATTCTGTGTCCCTGAGTAACAATTCTGTGTCTGTCCCTGAGTAACAATTCTGTGTCCCTGAGTAACAGTTCTGTGTCCCTCAGTAACAATTCTGTGTCCCTCAGTAACAATTCTGTGTCCCTCAGTAACAATTCTGTGTCCCTCAGTAACAATCCTGTGTCCCTCAGTAACAATCCTGTGTCCCTCAGTAACAATTCTGTGTCTGTCCCTGAGTAACAATTCTGTGTCCCTCAGTAACAATTCTGTGTCTGTCCCTGAGTAACAATTCTGTGTCCCTGAGTAACAATTCTGTGTCCCTGATTAACAGTTCTGTGTCCCTGAGTAACAATTCTGTGTCCCTGAGTAACAATTCTGTGTCTGTCCGAGTAACAATTCTGTGTCCTTGAGTAACAGTTCTGTGTCCCTGAGTAACAATTCTGTGTCCCTCAGTAACAATTCTGTGTCTGTCCCTGAGTAACAATTCTGTGTCCCTAAGTAACGATTCTGTGGCCCTAAAGTCTCTTTGGCCCTAACTCTGTCCCTAATACAGAGAGGTCTTTCTCTCTTGAATGACTGGAGGCTAATGGAGAATTCTAAGATGGCCGCAATTTATAGCTCGACCATTACACAGTGCTGGCTGGCTGGCTGCTGATTAGCTAATGCGATCACATGTCATGAATGAATGCATTATGGGTCAGCGCGCCTTGTCTGCGCGCCTTCCCAGAGATCCCTGCTCCGTCGCCACACATGTCGCCGCAATTTTTGGAACAATTTCGATTCGCGCATCCGAAGTCTGCTAATTTTCGGATTCGGCGTGAATTTTTCCTAATCTTCGAAACGAATTCCACTTCGCCAAGTTCGATTTGCTCATCTCTAATTATAATGGTGAAGTACAGAATGTATACCGCTTTTTGTTCTTTTCTTTTTGTAAAACATTGATATCTAATAAAAAGTGTTATTATACACCGTGTTCCAAATTATTATGCAAATGATATTTTTCTCATTTACCTAAATAATTTATGTAAATAACAGTCAGCATAATTCTCATGTTATCAACTATTAAGAGTACAATTCAAACTTTATTGAAGAAACCTCCTAATGATAACAGTATTTTTTTAAACATAAAAAACTTACAATGCACTGTTCCAAATTATTATGCACAGTAAGTTTCAAAACACTTTTTAGGTTGTAAAGAACTGAAAATTGTCATTTGTTGTGTTT